ATATGAACTCCCAGGTCTCTCTGTTCCTTCACACCCTGGGGGAAATGGTCAGGGTGAGGGGAGCGAAGGGAGGGAGCGAGGAGGGGAGGGAAGGGAGGGAGCGAGGAGGGGAGGGAAGGGAGGGAGCGAGGAGGGGGAAGAGAGTCGAGAGGGGAGCTGAAGGCTGAAGGTCAAAGAGAAAGGTCCTGAGTCCAGCCTTGAAGGAGGAAAGGGAGGAAGCGGCGAAGGCACTGGGGGATGGAGTTCCAGAGCCTCGGGGCTGAGAGGCTGAAGGCCCGGCCACCGATGGTAGGGCGGTTGGGGCGGGGGATGTGGAGCAGACCGGAGCCGGAGGAACGGAGGGTATGGGCAGGTAAGTAGGGGGATAGTAGGTCGTAGAGGTAGGAGGGAGCGAGGCCGTGAATGGCCTTGTAGGTGAGGTTGAGGATCTTCTTGAATTCGATCCTCTGGGGAATGGGGAGCCAGTGGACGCGAGCGAGGGCGAGGGTGAGGGCGAGGGTGAGGGCGAGGGTGAGGGCGAGGGCAAGGGTGGGAGTGATGTGGTCGCGGTGTCTGGTGTGGGACAGTACACGAGCTGTAGAGTTCTGAATGACCTGCAGTGTGGAGGGAGGGCCGGGAAGGCCGGCGAGGAGAGAGTTCTCATAGTCCAGCCTTGAGGTGATAAAGGCGTGGACCAGAGTTTCTGCAGCGTGAGGGGTGAGGTAGTGCCATAGTCTGGCGATGTTCCGGAGGTGATGGAAGGCGGTGCCAGTTGTGGCGCGGATATGGGGAAGAAAGGACAGCTCAGGGTCGAACCGAGGTTCCTGACTGGCTAGCATCCTGACTGGCTGGCAAACTCCTAAAGGCTAGCATCATATTAAAAAAAGCTAGCACCACGTCTTTATCGACTTTAAGCAGCCTCAGCCAGTGGGGTGAACATCTGCAGTTTAAATTCACCTTGTGTTGTAGCCACAAGTCTCTCACGTACAGTAGTCAGCGGTTGTATCCATTAAATAAAAGAATTTTTATGCCTTTTATGCAGAATCTTCTCAGCGGAAAGTTTTTCTATAAGAAGAGGCAAGTCATGAAGTTTGGGCTTCTGTGGTTGACATGTGAGAAATGAAACTGACAAAGGAAAGAGTGAATCTTGTCTGTCAGTGGGTGATGATTGCAAACTGCCTAAAGCTGACTGCGGCAGCGTTAATGATTGACCTATATGCTGAAATGAATGAACCAGAGCGCTGCTTGTTACAAGAAGTGCCCACAGACCTTTACACAAACGCCTATGTGTTTTCTCTCGCTCTGTTTTTCATTCTGTCTCTCACGCTGTGTAACTTTCCCCATGTCTGCATCAATTTCTTCACTTATAAGATGGACAAAATCTGAGTTCTGTCTCTAGAATCTTACAAAGTAAAGGGAGTCGTCCTGCAGAATGTGGAGGAAGAGGAGCTTGATGGAGGGAGTAGACCTGTAGAGTGTAGGAGAAGAAAAGACCGAGGAAGGATAGGAGTTCCACAGTCTCCAGGTCCTTGAAAATAGTGAGTCAGAAAAGGAGACAGTGAATGAATTTTTGAGGAGGAAAAGCTTTTTTCCCCATTATAACAGTCGCCTGTGTAAATTGACCAATGTAATTTTCCCAGCAGTTTGTGTCATACCTCATTCATCCACTCAGAGGCAGTCCTGAGGCATTGAATGAAGTTTGCAGTAGGAAGACAAGCTCATTACTTCTTACAGAAAGGGGTGAAAGGGGATGACAGGATTAGGGAGCACTTAACTCAGGTCAACACTCTGCGAGTGTATATAACTCTGCCAAGCTTCAAAACTCTGTGCAACGTTTCTATCTGCAGTTTGCACAATGAACTCGAAACCCGATGTTCCTAAAGTTACAGAAGTCGTGGAGTCCTGTAGTTCAGTGGTTAGAGCACTCGCCTCTCAAGCAAGAGACCTGAGTTCAATTCCCGACAGAGAGAAATCTTGGGCAAGTTTCTTTACCTCACACGCCTGATAATAATCCCTCGAGAAAAATAAACAGTAATAAAATTGGTCACTTCAATCCACGACTGTTTGTGGGACGCTGCTGTGCAATTGGCTGCCACGTTTCACCCACAAATATACAGTCAATTCACTTTAGAGTATATTCTGTGAAGCGTCTTGAAGATGTGAAAAGCACCATATCAAATGCATGGATTATTATATTATATTAATCTGGAAATTAGAGAGAAGTTAACTTTCTGTCACTTTTTTTATTTAATCAAAATTCTGAGTTTAGATACACGCTCTAATCTCAGCATTTTATCATCAATAGCATCTTGCTGTTTGTTACAGAGTTAGAAACCCTGAGTCTGTAAATGAAGTGTTCTTCCTTTCTCTGGGGTTGTTCGTCCAGGTTCAAACTTGAATTCACAATTGCTTTGGATTGTGCATTCCTGTGTAATTGGAGCCATTGTATTCAATGTTTGATTGTGCGAATGTCAGGAAGATTGTGTCTGCAGATGATGGTACAGCAGTGTGGAGCAACAAAACCCTGTAACTAGTAGCCTGAAATTTGTTCATTCATAGCATTGTTCCCACAAACATTGCTGTGTGTGACTTGGTTGCCGCGTTCACCCACAAAATACACGGTCATGGTATATCCTGTGAAGCGCTTTGGGAAATCTTGACCTGAGAGGCACTATACCAAATGTAAGGATTTTATCAAAACACAAAATACTCCAGATGCTGGAAATCTAATAACAAAAACAGAAGTGGCTGGGAACATTCAGCAGGTCAGGCAGCATTTATGGAGAAGGGAAAGTGAGTCAACATTTCGGGTCCACAACCCTTCGTCAGAAGAAACGTTGGCTCACTTTCCTTTTTTCCATTACTGCTGAGTGTTCCCAGTGACTTGTGTTTTTGTTTGCAAGGATTCTTGTTGTTGTTGTTGTTATTATTTAGTAGGTTACTAGAATGATATTGATAGGTTACTGGTATCTTCCACCATTATCTTGTGGAGTCCTGTAGCTCAGTGGTTAGAGCACGCGCTTTGCAAGCGAGAGACCTGAGTTCAATTCCAGGCAGAGGGCGAAACCTCGGGCAAGTTTCCTTACTCCACACAGAGCCTAATAATAATCCCTCCAAACCCAAAAAAATAATAATAAATTGGTCATTTTCAATCTACGACTGTTTGTGGGACATTGCTGTGCGCAATTGGCTGCCGCGTCCGCCCACAAATACACAACAACAACAACAAGATTCCATTTATAGAGCGCCTTTCACGTCAGGAGGACGTCCCAAGGCGCTGACAAGATTCCATTTATAGAGCGCCTTTCACTTCAGGAGGACGTCCCAAGGCGCTGAATATACAGTCAATTCACTTTACAGTGTGTTCTGTGAAGCGCTTTGGGACGTCCGACGTGAAAAGCGCTATATCAAATGCAAGGATTATTATTATTATATACTGTCCGTGGGAAAAAAATTTCCTCCCTGGAGTCATCTAAACTCCTATACCTCTGGCCCTCACTGATCGATCTCCTCTCCTCATTCTCTTTTCTCCACAACTCCCTCGCCTCCATCCTTGACTCCCGTGACCCCCACTCCCCCTCACCTCCCGAACTGCCTCATACTCCCGTAAATCCCCCGGTACACCAGCCATCTCCGTTCCCTCAAGGCACAAGTGCGAGTGGCCGAACGCCCTGGACCAAATCCAAACTAACGGTCCATCAGCAGATTTGGCTTCACCACACCAAGACCTACCGCTGCGTCCTTGCCTCCGCCAAATCCTCCTTTTACTCCAAGGTTATCTTGGAGGCAAAGGACAACCCTAGGCCAATGGCTTTTTTTTCTATCCTGTACAATTATGTAAATCTATGTAAATATTTTCTTGAATTTTACACATGGCAGGAAGTATTTTTTTCATAATCCGTATTTTCTAAATCCTTCATAATTGTAAATGCCACTATCATTTTTTTTTCCAAATTGACATTTACAATCCTGGTTTATGACAACTTCAGGGTCAAATGTTACATAGTTTACATAAACGCTATTAACCAAGCCCTAACAGGTAAGGTAATCCTAGCTGAACAAGCAGGGGGAACCTTGCCAGCCAGTGCAAGTTATGCAGGTTTAACTGGTTATACTCCAGTAATACATCAAAGAACATCCTGGAGTGCCAAAGCTTTCGCACATGCCAACCTGTGCCTAATACTCTCTGGAATTAGGAAGCAGGATTCCTCCAGGCATTCCGATCCAGTAAAATCTCAGGAATTTCCATGTTTAGATCAGATGTATGGAACGCTGACTGATTTGGATACTCTTAGGCACTTGACTGACCTCCCCCAAAATTACATAAACCAATACTCACTCTGGTTGCCTCTCCATCACTGTTAGAAAGAGTTTCAACTTTCCTACTTTCAAAATTTGTGATTTTTTTAAATCTCACTCTTACCTTTGCTGTTTCTTTAGTACAATCGTATTCATCCTTTACCACTGTATACATGAATTAAGAAGAAATTGAAGCAGATTGCTTTCCCTCTGGTCTGACTTCATTCAACAGTCTATCAACCTTCTAATTCTACATCCTGGCTAATCAAGTGATTAACACTGGTGATTGGTGAGTGTAGATGGATAGCAATGTGGAGAATTAAATATAGAATAAGACAATGAATTACAATTAAAATTAGAACTACAATTAAAATTAATCTCCATAACTTTTGTAAACTGTCTTCATGAGGAGCAATAGCTATTACTAAGTCTGGCATGCACGTGAAGCTTGTTTTTACAGATGTTTGAGTATAGAAAGATGTTAGTGACATAGGAGATGAACTTCTGTGGCCCACAGTAAATTAATTTCTGGTCAATGTACTAGGCATCCAGTTATAACAGATGGTTTGGGCTCATAACTCAGACTGCTGCATTATAAACAGGTGCTCTAAAAAATAGCCACCTTCCAGGTCATCAGGTCACCTCTGATGTCACTTTCTTCATGTTGCATGCTACTCACATTTGTGCAGTTTTGTCAGCGATGCTTTTGTGCATGCCACATTATGAGACGGGGGTGGTGGGGGGGTTTAACACCTAGTAATAACTTCTCACTTCCTCTTGCCTCTCCACAGCTGGGTGTCGCAATTGGTTTCCTGCTCCCTCCCATGCTGGTCCCCAATGTGGATGACCTGGACCAGCTGAGCTACCACTTGAATGTAATGTTTTATGGCACTGCTGCAGTGGCAAGCCTCCTGTTCATTCTGGTCATCCTCGGTAAGGAAATAGCCCCGTGCTTGTATAGACCTGGAGTTTATTAACTGCACTTTGGGCTTAAATACAG